TTTTTGCGGTATCTTGATGTATCTCTCCATATCTGAGCGTATCCCGCCATATCCCGGCATATCCCGCCATATCCCGCCATATCCCGCCATATGCTGCCGTATCCTGCACGTCTCGATCGGCCTCTCCGCGCTTCCAGGCCGCTAGAGGCGAAACGTGGCGGCACGACTTCGAGATTCACGGGCGAGGGCGAGGGAGAGATCGCCTCTAGTTCTCATACTACCTGGGACGGCTATCTTTAGTCAGTAAGCCTGCCAAGTTCTCCTCCTAGGAGATGAGCGCGAATATACCCGTTCATATGCGCCCGCCGTATTTACACCATATCCCGCCGCGGATACCGCGAAAAAAACCGGCCAGACCAGGGATAACGATTGAAGGAGGAGGTACTCACGTGGGCGGCGTGCGAGAAGGCCATAAGAGATTCAAAAAGGGCAAGGCGGTCGGCTCGGACCTACTCGACGGATACTTACTGCGCATAGCAACGGAGGACATTCAAAGAGACTACTGGCGTCTGCTGGTAGAGATTGTCGAGACAGAAGCGTATCCGAGGGAATGGAATGACTGGATTGCGATGCTAGCGATGAAGCCGGGGGAGCACCCGAAGGAGCTCGAACGAAGGCGCGACCTCTGGGTCCAGCCACAGTCGTTAAAAGGTCTCATGCGAATGCTCCTACCCGAATACGATAGAGCGTGCGCGAGAGTGGTCCCCGGCTCGCAATGCGGCTTCACAGCCGGAAAGAACGCGCCAGCGCAGACACTCACCGCGCGCCTGCACGCAGAAGAGTGCATGATAGAGAGAAAGATGTGCGTGAGAGGATACATCGATCTCGGGACCTACTTCATGAGTGTAGTACACGAAGTGCAATGCCAATGGAAGGTGGAACAATGGGCAGGGGTACCGCCCGACGTGACAGCTGTGATGAGGGCGCTAAGGGAAGGACTTGGGGAAGAGCTACCCTCCCTCCAAGGTAGATACGAGACGGGCTATGGACTGAGCGACCGATTTCCCATCGAGCAAGGCCTCGGCCAAGGGTGCCTCCTTTCGCCCGCACGTAGCAAGCTCATGCTGGCCGTGATGCAGCAAACAGTCAGCAAGCTGGGTAGAGGTTTCGAATTCACAGCGGCGGGCGAAGGTGTGCCGCAGCTAGTGTACGCCGACGACGGCCTGTTCCTCAGCAACGACATAGCCACGATGCAGCTAGCGCTAGAGTGCGCCTGGTTAGTGACAAAGATCTGTGGCAACAGCCTCCAGGTCAAAAAGAAGAAGAAATCGGCATGGTCAGCGACGTACTGGGAGAACAACGAAGAGCGGGATGTCGAGGGCTATGAGGATGCCGGATGGTATGCCGATACCACAGCTGAAGGGAGACGAGAGCTACAAATATCTCGGAACGGAGCTCAGGACCGGGTGGGCAAACGGCGAGGGCCAGACGGAAATGAGGGAGCGGTGCGTAGCGGACTGCAAGAGGGTGAGCTGGATCATAGGCAACCTGCCGCACTTGACAGGAGAGCAGATCCGACGCAACATGGCGCTAGCACTGAGCGGCATTATCGGGTACTAGGGCCGGTCCACGGTCATCACATGGGAAGATTGCCAGAGCATCGAACAGGTGAGGGCGAGTGCCCTAAACGCAAAAGGGTACTCGGTAGGAATCCCGCGACTACAAATATACGACTTGAAGGAGAGAGGAGGGATGGGAATGGAACACGCATACACGTATGCAGCGGCGGCGCTGATCGATCAAGTGGACCGGGCCCTCAGCGCGGTGGAAGGGGAACCAGCGAGGGTGGCCGTAGAGAGCAGCCTAGCGCACACTTTGCGGAGGCTGGGATGCCGAAGTGATAACCCGCTGGAGT